CCAGGTGCCCCTGTGCCCTGCTTTTCTTTATCCCCCCAAATCAAAAGCCTAATTTATCACTTAGTGCTCTTACTTTGTTTTTGGCTTCCAGTTCTACACAACTGTATTTTCATGTTAATTTTGATACATCTTACTTTTTTGTAATACATTTTGAAGTTGACCAGTGTAAGACTGTCTTCATTTGGTTTTAATGTATTACAGTAACATGGGAAGATATTATTTAGGCAGTAGGTTTCTTAGTAAAGAGTGTAACTCTCCGTTTTACCTTTTAGTTAATAGTTCCTATATGGACACCTACAAGTAAATATTTATTTCAATTTTATTGAATATAATATGTATGAAAAACAATTTAGGTGATGGCATATAGAGATACGCATAGAAATGATGAACCATCTCTGCACTGTCATAATACATTAAGCTTACCAAATGTTTGCACATATATCATTAATGTATAATACTCTGATGTGTGTACATGTTATGTGTACATATATGTGGGTGTGTGTATATATGACTATATATCTTTACACACACTTGCACTTTGGGGCTGTGATCCAGCACTATTAAGTGACTTACATGAAATCACAAAGCTAATACGTCTGAGAAGCAATAGTTTAACCCTGTTTTTTTTCTTCTCTGACTTTAACCCCAGTCAGAGTTGTTATGTGAAGCCATGTAGGTTATGCAAATTTTGTGCTGGGTACCACTCAGAAATGATTGGGACTAGACAATGCACAGTCTGGTCACTGCACATGACCCTGTCGGTACCCCTTCTCATGCAACATCTGTCCCTTTGTCTCGTTGGGGAGACAGGTGCACAGGCCAGTGTGGCGGGTGTGATAAATGCTACCTGTCGTATAACCGCTGTGTTGTTCTGTGCTGCCCAGAAGAGACCTGGACTAGTTTCTTTAAGGGATTAGAGAAATCAATGCCACGAAAGAGTTGGCCATTTCTTGGGACAATTTAATATTTATATTAATTTTAGGAACTAGAAAGCTTGAATTGTTATTAAGAAATTAATTCAGAAAACTGAACTGCCGCTAGGTGTAGGGTCCTAGTTTAGAATGGTGAGCAAGTGCTTTCCTCACTTCTACTCCAAAGCCTACCTAGTTTCCTGACAGTCTAGTTTTTATTTCTAAAATGCTGTTGTCCACGCAGGGGTTAATGTTGATATCCCACGTGTGTGTAGACAGACACTGAGGTCAGAGTCTTGTTCAGGTCTCATGTCCTGCCCATGAGGATCATCCAGTCTCAGAGTAAAGTCACTGTCTGATCTGAAAGAACAGCATGGACTGCCCTACAGTGCAGGTGCTTGCCGGAGACGTCATTTTTTTTTTTTTTTATTAGATAGCTGGTTGAGGATAAATGGCATTTGTGGAAGATCATTCATCTAAGTCAGTATTTCACAAAGTGTGTTTGGCTTACACTAATCCATTTTTTATATATATCCATGTATTATATATATCCACATATATATGTATGTATGTATATGGCTTAGAACTGGCTATTCTAGAAGTTTATAAAAAACTTGAGATGAACATAGCTGCGTGGTCTGCGTTTTATTGTTAACTAAATATAAATGGATTAAGACCTTCAGGGATAAGAATAAATAGTGAGAAGCAGGAGGCATGATTCCTGGCAGGTCACTCACAGGGAAGCCCTGAAGTGTTGATCAGGGTTACATTGCCCCTTAGAATGTTCGTTCTGGCTACAGAGTGGAGAACAAGAGGTGTGGCTGCCCTCAGGGACCCAAGAGGAGATGGTTGCACTAAGTCCTCGGGAAGGAGGTTGGCTGGACCAAGATGGTGTAACTAAGGATGAAAACAAGGATCCATTCAAATTGTGGTCAGGAAGGGGTATTGCCAGGACTCGGTTGGTTGAGTAGATGTTGGAGAAGAGGCACAGGAGAGGGCAAGACAAGTCAAAGGTGTATTTTTGTGTAGCATTTATCTATGTAATAAATATCAGCTGACTGATACACAGTGCCAGACACCTGTCTAGACAGCGAGGATGCAGTGATGAGTAAGATATACAAGGCGCCTGCTCTCCTTACGTTCCAGTGAGGAAGACAATCATCTAATAAGCAAACATACCTACTTGGTTTTATTAACTGGTTCGTGCCACCAAAGCAATGAAGGGGGTGGGAGGAAGGTGATGGAAGAATAGTACAAAGATGACTAGACTGATGTTTTTGAGGGGACAGACAAAACATTCTGGATAAAATTACAAATCACATATTATAGACATTATATATAATTTACAAAGAAGTTTCTAAGATTAGATGGAGGAAGGGGACAATTTAAGAGAATATGTTCTTAATTTCCCCCAGAGAGGTAAGTACGTGAACAGGGACATATTATTGTTTGGGTAATAAGAGATACTTTGGGAAACAGTGTTGGACTTTTTTTTTTTTTTTTTTTTTTTTTTTTTATTGAACGGTAACTATGTACATTGTGTTGGACTTTTACTGGAAAGAATGTAACAATGTTAGCTGTGGAAATGTTTGCAGGGGGCAATGTGGTAGGTGGAGCCATCTCTGATCGGGGCATGCAGAAGGGTGCAGACTTTGTTGTGAGTAAGAGGACTTTATGTTTGGCTGTGTTGATTTTTGTGCTGCTGCGGAATATCCAAGTGGAAACGTCTGGATGGGGACACCTGTCCAAAGAGCTAGTGTTTCCAAACATCCCCAAATGGCTAGACATAGAAAGATGCACAGCATGCAGTTACAGGCTGAGTGTGCTCGATATGGAAATCCAAAATCAAAATGCTTCAAAACCCGGAACTTTATGGGTGCTGACTTGATGCCACAATTAAGTAACTATAGAATGTGCAGCAGTTCTCAATGTCTAGGTTTACAATTTACTTAGTGCTTGTCACTGTTTAGTTTTTGCTTTTGTAAATTTAGCTCTTTTATGAAAGATAAGGGCTGTCTGGAAAGTATCCAGCCATGTAATGTAAAAAATATATTAACAGGGTGGTGCCTGTGGCTCAAGGAGTAGGGTGCCAGCCCTATGTACTGGAGGTGGTGGGTTCAAACCTGGTCCTGGCCAAAACCGCCCCTCCCCCCAAATAATAAAATAAAAAAAAATATATATATATATTAACAATGGCTGGAAACTTTCTGGAAATCTCTCATATGTAGCCCACCAATAGTTTCCTATCATTTCAAAGAAATTCAGGTTATCATGAAAGGGAAGAAAATGCAGGGGGTGGGTATTATTCTGTATTAGTCCAACCCTCTTACCTACGGCTTTTTAGCTCTCAGAAGGTCCTACCAAGACATAAAATCTTCACGTGCCAGAGAGTGCTTATTAACAGAAGGCTCTAGTTGGCCGTAAGGAAGTGGAAGGACATTATTATTTATTAAATTGGCTTTTGCATTTAAATGCATTGAAAAGCAGAGATAAATTTAGGCTACTACATGAGAGAGTTTGCTATTATGTCAAAGGCATATGAAATCTTTTTGCCATTGTACTATTTCATGGAAGATTCGTTTTGTAATCGAATGAGTTGCAATATATTTATATATCCTTCTATTTCAAAAATAGTGAAAAAATTTCACATTACTTGCTGTTATTCCTTAAAATGATGATGTAAACTTAAGATTTGCAGTTACTATGGATATTTCCAAGGACAGATATATAGATTTTTGCATTTAGCTTGGTGTCATTTTGTGGTTGTATCGTGGATATAAAAGTCATTTTTAACTAGTTTGCTCTTTATCACGAAATAAGAAAACTTTTTTATTTTTGGTAGGAGAGGAATTAATTTTATCTTAATATACCTCCACTTTCTCCTGGACTTACACATCATCTGTAACATAACTTAAAACCGTGCATTAGTAGATTCCTCCGGTGGTAGGAATGAAATGAGGTCTTAAGATTTCAAGCTTTTAGAGTACGTGAACTTTGAAACTCTTTGCAGTTATTTTTTTTCCAGTACTGGGCTGGACTGAGTGCATATATTTTGAATGACTAACAGATTCTCAAACCACAGTTCACTACATGGAAATGAGAGTACCACAGTCCAGAGGCTGGAGTCCTTCCCCACATCCTCCTACCTTCTCTGCTTTTTATCAGTTTGTTTTTTAAATTGTTGGGGATTCATAGCGGGTGCACAGAACCAGATTACACTGATTGCATTTGTTAGGTAAAGTCCCTCTTATAATCGTGTCCCTCCCCCCAAAGGTGTGTTACACACTGTGAACTCCCTACTCCCTCTTTCCATCAGTTTTAATGATCTTTTTCATATTGCCAGGATTTTTTCTTTTTCCTTTTTTTTAAAGACAGATCTCAGTCGGTTGCCTTGGGCAGAGTGCTGTGGCATTGTCATAGCTCACAGCTACCTCAAACTCTTGGGCTTAAGTGATCCTCTGGCCTCAGCCTCCTGAGTAGCTGGAACTATGATTACCCACCACATCATCTGCCTAATTTTTCTATTTTTAGTAAAGATGGGGTCTCACTCATGGTCAGGCTGGTCTTAAACTCCCGAGCCCAAGCAATCTGTTCACCTCAGCCTCGCAGAGTGCTGTGATCACAGGAGTGAGCCAAAGGAGATTTTCACAGAGCACAGCGTAGTTTGCTCTCATACTGCCTAAGCTCAAAATGTAGAAACAGAGAGAGAACACAGGCGAGCTTTGTGTTGTGGGTGGGAAGTGGTTCAGTGTGACCTCCTCTGCCTGCAGGAGCTGGCTGGGACTGTGTCATGCTGCAGTGACCAGTGGCAGCCCCAGCAGGCTGTGTAGCTCAGAACACAGGCTTAGGAGGCTTCTTGGACAGTTTAACTTTATCTCTGATTATAGGGGAACTTTGAGCAGGCTGCAACCTTTAAGTGATGGGGATTACAGTGTCATTAACGGAGACACAACAAGGCAAAAAATAAACCTTTTGAAATGGACAGAAGAGTCACCTCAGCCCCTTCAAAATTTACGTTGATCAAAATTTCATTTCCTCCTAAATTAAATCAAATTTTTAAAGGTTGTGAAGATTGTGCAAGACAATTTGGTACTTTAGGATTTGTTTGCTAGAATTAAGGGGGAATTTTGGCTTTTTCTAAATTATACCTGTCAAGTCCAGGCTTCTCGGTTTTTTTAAAAAGTAATTGACCATGTCTTAGGGGTCTTAGGGGATATTTTCACAGACGTTCCCATTGGCTTTCTTTGGGGGATATTTTCACATTTTTCACAGACGTTCCTATTGGCTCTCTTGTTTAACAGAGGACACTAGAGAGCTACGTGGATAAGCGCATGGGTGCGACATATGGGCCTCCTGCCGGAAAGAAGATGACGGTTTTTATCGATGATGTGAATATGCCAATAATCAATGAGTGGGGAGATCAGGTATATTGATTCTGCTGTGTATTTTATTTCCTTACTTTATCATCAATTTATTTGTTCGTGAGTAATTTTTTTCTTTTTAAAAAATTCTTTATTAAATCATAATTGTGTACATGAATGCATTTATGGGGTACAATGTGCTAATTTGATATACAATGTGGAATGCTTACCTCTAACTGATTAACATTACCGTCTCCTTGCTTACTTACTTGTTGTGGCAAAAACATTTATACTCTATTCTTAATAGTCTAGAAATGTATCATTGCATTATGCACATTAGGTTGGATCCCCCAAACCTTCCCTTCTCCCAGCCTCCCTCCTCCCCTCCCCTCTCTTTCCTCTTCCCTCCTTCTTTCTGGACTATGGTTATGTTTTACCATTCCTATGAATGTGTAGGTGATCATATACTGATTTCATAGTAGTATTGAATACATTGGATACTCCCCCCCCCCATTCTTGAGATACTTTACTAAGGAGAATATGTTCCAGCTCCATCCAGGTAAACATTAAAGATGTGAAGTCTCCATCTTTTTTATGACTGCATAGTATTCCATGTTGCACATATACCACATTTAAGATGTAATTCCTGAATTCCAATAAAGTCCAGTCTTTAAAAACATGCAAGTTGTTAGTTTCTAGGGGTATAAGGAAATGATGTTTTCATTCCGGAAGTTGCCTTTCCTAGGTTACTAATGAGATAGTACGGCAGCTGATGGAGCAAAATGGATTCTACAACCTGGAGAAGCCTGGAGAGTTTACCGGCATCGTGGACGTTCAGTTTTTGGCAGCCATGATCCATCCTGGGGGTGGACGCAACGACATACCCCAAAGGCTCAAGAGACACTTCTCTATATTCAACTGCACATTACCCTCTGATGCTTCCATGGACAAGATCTTTGGTAAAATGATTGTTTATTGGGGAGGGGAAGGGAAAAACACCTGCTTGTGTTCCTCGGAGAAACCTCCATCCTTGGAGGGGTTTTGGCATGAGGACTGAAGAGGCTTGACGCAAAGTCCATGTCAGGGGACTGAGGAACTGTAGGAGGAGCCCTCCTGAGCTAACCTCGGGTCCACATTTATTATCGTAAAGCAGGAAAAAAGTAGTTAAAAGTTACTCATCAGAAATCAGCACTAAAAAGGGGGAATATGGAAAGTGTCAGACAGAATGTCTCCAACTTATTTTTGTAAAACTGCAGACCTTAAGCAAGACCTCTGTCTCCAGTGTCAAGAGACCTTGGAATCTAGAGAATCTTTACCATAACATTAGGCCTGGTATTGCCACACCACACATACGCATTCTCCTTTGGAGGCCGGTTCTCTGATCGCCTGCACCTACACAATTCACATGCCATTCTCATGATTTTTCAGGTCTCTCAAGTAGGAAAGGAGTCTTATGCTAAAGATCAGGGCACAATTTTCCCTATAACCTTGAGGTCAAGACAGGATAAAGACTAGCTGGCTCCTTGGTCTATAGCTCCCATTACTCTCAAGTCATATATTTCATTTCATATGGGATTTTTTTTCTAGATACACGTGAATTGGATGACTAGTTAGATCTTTTCTACCTATGTTTTCCTTTAACCATCACTAGCTTGTTAAGCAGGGAGGTTAAACGTTAGATGAATGTGGACATGAGATTGTTTCCTCACAGATGAAATTGTTTCCTTATGGGTATATATATTTTGGGGTCTGAATTGCTATATTCTGTGTCCAACATTTATGCAGCTGATACTTTAGCCAGCCCATGTAGTGAGTTTGATCACAGAAGTAATGATGCAAAGGACAGGGATTAGCCACATTCTGATCCTTGGAACAATTTGTAGGATTAAAATTATTGATTGATCAAATATGTAGCATTTCAGACAAGGTGCAATGGCTCATGCCTATAATCTCAGCACTCTGCAGGCCGAGGTGGGTGGGTTACCTGAGCTCACTGAGTTTGAGACCAGCCTGAACAAGAGTGAGACACCCGTCTCTAAAAAATAACTAGGTGTTGTGGGTGCCTGTAGTCCTAGCTACTTAGGAGGCTGAGGTAAGAGAATCAATTGTGCCCAAGAGTTTGAGGCTACTGTGAGCTATGATACCATGGTACTCTACTGAGGGTGGCAAAGTGAGACTCTGTTTCCATAAACACACACAAACAATATGTAGCATTTCAGAGATAATTTAACTGAAGGCCCACTTGCCTAATAAATAACGATGTATGTTTAAGCAATGCACATGCACTTATGACTGATTTTGGAATTATCCTTTGCAGAAAAGAGTGTAAAGTTATGGGCACATTCATGTTGGTATTGGTGGACAAGTTTTGGAACTGCTATTGAGAAAAAGCTCATAGGAGTTCACTAATTAACTTCTGGCAGACTGAAATGTCATCTGAGTATCCCAAACTAGTGGACTATGGCAGTCATCTCCCTTCAGCCTCAGCAGGAGGCAAGGTCTGGAGTTATCCAAACTTGGGAAAAGTGAAGTGGGCCAGAAAGATGACTGTTATCAATTTTAATTGTTCTTTATTGCCTGGAAACTTTTACACATAAAGTAAATTAAAGTACTTTATAATGCATGGAAAGGCAACAACAGAACGGAAACATCCACTCTGTCGGGCTGAGACAAACATTTTTCCTTTCTTTTTCAAAGGCAATGTTGTATGTTTGTCATTGTGACCCATCTCATAATACTGAATTCGTGCAGCCAGAGTTTCCAGTATTTCTTAATCAACTTTTCAGTGTTCAGAATGGTTACTTACTTAAAATCTGTACCTATGTTTTTTGGGTACGGGATTTGAAAAATCAAGAGAACATTAATTTATATAATTTTCTTTTATAGGCGGTTCTCTGTTAAAATGTGTAATGACATTTGTGCCAACTCTACATTGTTATGATTTTCTCCTTTGCAGGTGTGATTGGGGTCGGCCACTACTCTACCCAAAGAGGTTTTTTGGAGGAAGTGAGGGATTTTGTGATGAAATTGGTGCCCCTGACACGCCGACTGTGGCAGATGACCAAGATTAAGATGCTCCCTACCCCTGCAAAATTCCATTATGTATTTAACCTTAGAGATCTTTCTAGGATCTGGCAGGGGATGCTGAATGCTTCTTCAGAGGTCATCAGGGAGCCAGATGTAAGTGATACCTAAGAGAGGAAAACAGATGACATTGCCATTGATCATACATTCTAAATTTAAATATTTTTATTAGCTTATTTTTTGCTTGACCTATGAAAATATTTTGGGGTGTTTCAGAATGGAAATTCTTTTCTTTACCACTTTTCAACTAACATAAAGAAAGAAAAAGTATAGATGTCAGATTTTTTTTTTTTTTTTTTCCAGTTTTTGGCCGGGACTGGGTTTGAACCCGCCATCTCCGGCATATGGGACCGGTGCCCTACTGCTTTGAGCCACAGGTGCCACCTGATGTCAGAATATTTTAGTTAAAAATTTCAACTGAATGAGGTTTATGTTTAAGGGAAAAGTATGCGCAATCCTTTTCTAATGACTAGAATAAAAGAAACTCTTGATTTTATTTTTCCACCATAAGAAGATTTATTTTTATGCCAAATACCAGAAGCAATCTCTACTGATTTTATTGTGTAATAGTTTTCACAATTTAAGCTTGACATTTTAACTTTAAAAAGTAACTATCTTTATAAATAAACATTCAAAATTAAAGAAAGACATTTTGTTATCATCATCTTTTTTTTTTTGTGGGTAGATGCACTGAAAGAATTATATAGGTAGATAAGATTGAGGCGTGGTATCAGAGTAGAAATTTCATTTAACAGTAAAATGAGCATTGTGAATACTCTTGAATATGGCAGTTCCCAGCATTACAGGCATTTCCTTCAAACTAAGAATGTTATGTAAAAACCCAGTAGTCCTTTCCCCCACGAAGTATAGATAGCTGATACACTTAGGCAGAGCTGGCCTCTTTTTCAGCCTTTCTGGCGCTGGGAGGTAATTACACAAATGAGTTTTCAGGGACGTCTCCATATTAAACACACAGAAACAGTAGAAATATCAGCAAAACTGTCACTGAGCACCTCCAGTGTTGACTGTTGCATAAAACACTGCTCTTCCAAATGCTTGCAATATAGGTAACCACGCTTGCTGACGTCTGAAGACTAGATGTTTGGGGGAAAACTCACTGTCCTTATTACAGAGAATTGAGAGTCGATTTAGCAGCAGTGAACATTTCTATTTGACTTTTTCCCCTCAAAGTTATTTACAGCTCAATATAACTCAGTTCTCAAAAGATTACTCTTTAAATGGCCATTTTTGGTGCTTATTTTCAATCAGTGTAGACCATTCCAGCAACTGGCTTTGTCATGAACTTTTGACTTAATTGAATCATGGACTATATTTTATTTAATTCCTTTTATATTCTGGCAAGCAGGTAGCATTTTATCATTAGCAATACTATGGCTTAGAGACCTTCTAACATGAAAAATCTTACCAAGCTAAGAAGTTTTCACCAGTCTCTCATGTCAAATAATCAGCGTCGACACACATTCGTTATTTTTGCTATAGGAACAAGAGTACTGAGTAATTAGTTTCCTTAACTTTCAGTTATCTTTGGGCCCTGGGTTATCTGGACTAGTGTTTGCTTTGTTCATCATATTTTTTTTTTTTACTTTTTGTTAAATAAATCTTTATAATACATAGTATCTCTGTTGCATACACAAAAGTTATTCATACATTGTATGTTTTATTATAACCACAGGAGTGTAGGTATTTATCAAAAAACTGATTTATTATCAAAAATTTAAGAACTTTACAAAGAGTATTCATTTCTTGGATGATTAGAGAGTTTTTTTGTCTGAGCATATTTCCTTTTTAATTTAGAAATAGCAAATAATAGACTACTTTTTATTTAATATACTTGAATGAGATCAACTTGAAGTGGAGTATATTTTAATCCTAACTTTTTAAAGTGTTCGCCTTATGTCAGGAAGGACATTACTCTACAGTATTGTCAACTTGAACTCCTAATTACAGCCCTGTAGGAATTAATAACACATTTTAATTATACTTTCAACAGGATCTTTTAAGGCTATGGAAGCATGAGTGCAAACGTGTTATAGCCGACCGCTTCGCTTTGTCTGATGATGTGACCTGGTTTGATAAGGCTTTAGCGAGTTTGGTAGAGGAGGAGTTTGGTGAAGAGAAAAAACTCTTGGTGGACTGTGGAATTGACAGTTATTTTGTGGATTTCTTGAGAGATGCACCTGAAGCCACAGGTAAACTACTGAAGCAAAATTTGGAATTCCCCCAGAGGGGAGTCACCAATAGGGAAATCTGACGATGGTTAGGGATGTTGAGTTTCTGTTTAGTCAACTTTATTGAAACAAGCCTTGGATGTAATAGGTGCTCAGTAAACGTAGGTGAGGTAGAATTGGGAGGCAGAGTAGGGTGGGAGAGAGTGCATAGGGCTTGTAGTCTGGTAGGTGGAGATGGGTTTGAGGAAGGAATCTACCACACATAAGAAGGACATCTTGAAAGGTTTTTGAATCTCATTCTCCTCACTTATAAAAATGAAAATACTAATATTTGCCTCATGCATAGCATGGGGAATAAATGAAATGTTCTCTGTCAAATGACTTGGGCAGGCTGTGGCCCATAGTCAGTGCCAAATAAAGGTAGTAAAAATAGCCATGGTATTATTCAGGTCACCCTGAATGCTGAAAATAAAAAGAAAATCTCTTCGATTATATGAAAGGGCTATTGAATATAATTGGTGGGTGACGTGGAGGCAAGATTGGTGGTCATGGTTCTGGGAAAAATTGAGATGTATTACTTTTCTTATGAAAAGAGGCAATGCTCTGATTTTTTTCTCCTAAGAAATAATTGGATTTAAGTAGAATGTTTTTCTTTCACGTAATAACTTATTCTAATACCGAGGATAGATTTTAAGTTAATTCACATATTTCAAGGGGCATGTTCAAAATGTATCATTTATACCTTGTAAATGATTGGATATGACCCAGAAACCTCTCACTAGATGGGATACAATACAGGTGATCTATCAAAAGTTTCTGAGTGACAGTTGCAAAAGGATGCTTATTGCTTGCTATGCAGCTGAAACGATCCTTTTACAGAAAGAAGCTGATATGTTTTATTTTGAATCAGGTCAAACACACACCCAAATCCTAGAAGGGTAAGGACATTTTAGAAAGTAATTAGAATTTATGTATTTTACTCCTTTTGATGCAGAGGGTAAATAATTAGATGATGATTTTTGAGGATCAAAGCGCAATGACTACATTTTTCAGGGTAGGAGAGGGTCTATGACATTAACTTTTATGTCTTCAAAGCATTTTATTTCTCAAAGCTTGAGTGGCACATGTATGAAAGAGTTGTGACTATTGAAATTTGGTTAGTGAGAGCTTTGCAAATAGGTCAATCTTAGTGATTATTGTGTTAAACCAATTTCCTTGTCCTGCCATAAAAAGCTTAATATACTATTATATTAGGACAAAGTTAATTGAAAATAGTTATGTACTATGGGATGTGGAAGAGCCAGTCACTATCCTCGTACCAGTGAATATCTAAGTTGTTGCTGGTACGTTCCACTAAAGTGTCACTGGTTTTCCCGTTGCTAATGTTCCCTGGTAGTGAATTGATGCACAATTTAGCTTCTGTATGTGCTTCCTGGTCCCCATTGGGAAAGTGCTAAGCTGGTATCATATATGCATCTAATTTAAAAACTGTATTTGATCTTAATTCATTTTTCTCTGTAAAATAATTCAGTATGGTTATTTATTTGGAAAATAATTGTTCTGTTTTCTCACAACCCTCCACCTCCAGTCCCTGATTCACTCTGTCCTTACTGCTAACCTAAAAAATTCTTGATTCATAAAAATTTCCTGAGCAAGCACAGTGACCTTTTTCCTTTTTATTCTTATTAAAAAATCATATAATTCTTGACCTCCTTTGCTGATTTTGACATTAAATCCCCCCTTTTTGACTTTCATTTTGACCATGAAGGTGCTCTCTCGGAGGAGCTCTGAGATGCCAGTGTTCAATTGCAGGTTCAAATTCAATTCCCTGAATGGGACATTATTCGAAATTGGCTCTTTCAAGACAAGAAGGGACTAGGATGGCAGGTGATCACAAAAACCCTACTGCTTTTCTATTACTGTTTTTCTTTTTTTCTAAAAATGCATACTGTGGCATTTTGATGAAAATAAATATTATTTAGAGTTAAACTGTAGAGCCATGAGTGTATTAACTTAGGTTTAAGGAAGTAGTAAAGTTCAGGGATTTGAAGAAATTTAATGGGTTCTTTTTTTATTTCTCCACCAAAGGTGAAACATCTGAGGGTGATGCTGTAATGCCCAAAATTTATGAGCCAATCGAATCTTTCACTCACCTAAAAGAGCGTTTGAATATATTCCTGCAGCTCTACAATGAGAGCGTCCGCGGTGCTGGCCTGGACTTGGTGTTCTTTGCAGATGCGATGGTCCACTTAGTCAAGGTAGTGGCTGCAGGAGCAGGGGCTTGGTGAAGCGACAGACCCTTAGCTTCACGCCGGAATCCTCTCCCCTTTTATTTTCATCTTGTAGGAGACTATCCAGTTTAAAAGTAAATGCAATGCTATATTCCAATTTAATTTCTAAATTGAATGCAGCATGTCACACCTTATAGGATTGAAATAAGAGCACATGTATTTTCATCGTGTGATGTGATAATGTTATTCAGCGTTGCTCCACGGCTTCCAGCTCTGTGTTTTCACCCCAAAGGATGAGTATCGTTGACATCAGAGTTCAAAGCACAGGCCGACTCTGCTTGTTTTGGTACCATGCAAAGGGTAGCCCAGAAAAAAAGTGCATAAATCTTGAGGATATTGTGCTATGTGGAATAAGTCAGGTGCACACACACAAAAGGGCAAATAGGATTCTACTTAAATGAGGTACCTGGAGTAGTCGAAATCCTGGAGACAGAAAGTAGACTGCTGAATGCCAGAGGCTGGGTGAGGACGGGATTGGGGATTCTTTTGTTAAATGGTTAGAACAGAATTTCAGTTTTGCAAGATTAAAAGTATTTTGGAGGTGGCTGTTTGTGATGATTACAGGACCATGTGAATGTACTTCATGCTGTTGCCCTATACACTTGAAAACTTACATGACCTAATTTATCTATGGTGCAAGATAATGCCATTTAAAATTCATTGTTGATGTTTGCACTTGGTTGACATCAATTACTTTTTCAGATTCCGTCTTTTCAGTTAGGAAGAAAGCAGTTCGAGGTTATATTCCATGACTTACGTTTAACCATGAGCTACTTGGTTAACAATTACACATTAATTCCCTAATACTTGTGGAATCTTTTTTTTTCTTTTTTTTTTTTTTTGAGACAGAGCCTCAAGCTGTCCCCCTGGGTAGAGTGCCGTGGCATTACAGCTCATAGCAACCTCCAACTCCTGGGCTCAAGCGAGTCTCCTGCCTCTGCCTCCCAAGTAGCTGGGACCACAGGCGCCCGCCACAACGCCCGGCTATTTTTTTTGGTTGCAGCCATCATTGTTGTTTGGCAGGTCCGGGCTGGGGATTCGAACCCGCCACCTTAGGTGTACGTGGCTGGCGCCTTAGCCGGTTGAGCTATAGGCGCCGAGCCAATACTTGTGGAATCTTACAAACAGAGAGGGTTATAGAGGTTATTTAGCCAACCCTCGGTCTGAGAATGGGGATTGCCTTCCTGCATGAAGGGCAGGGAAGCATTTCTGCAAGGCTGGAGTACATCTGGGAGGGAGAGGAAGACAGTCTGTTCTGGGGTTGGATTTCCCAGCCTGAGGGCACTTAGGTAGGCAATGCTGTGATTTCTCAGAGACATCTGTACTGAATTAGGAGCCCAAATGTCCTTCCAAATACAAATACCATTTTGAAATTAGCTCCTACTTTATAGTTGATTAAAAATGAAGTGTTTCAGAAAGGATGAATGTCCTGTCATATTCAATAATTAAAAGTAAAGGAAAAGAGAGAGAGAGAGAGAGAGAGAGAGACCTTATTTTCTAACTGAGAAGTACCAAAGGCAACTTCATGACAAAATGTCTATTGGAGACAGACTTTGCCTGGCCTGGGGTTTCAAAACAACTCAGATTTGAAGAAGAGGTTATTTATGTTCGTTTTGTACTTGATCAAATTCGCTGGAACCTTCTTCCCCCACCCCGTGTTTCACAGCCCAGACAGTGTGCGACGAGGCTTTCTTCACTCCGTCTGGGCGTGATGGTGGAGGTGCCGGTGCCTCAGCTCAGATCCCTGCCAGCATTTTCCTTCCCTCACAGCCTCTTGCCTGTCTGCTCTGGAATTGGCCAAGGAATGCGTGACTGAAGTTTCTGAGCTGAGATGCGGCACTGCTCTCATCTTCTGGGCTGACCCTCCCTTCTGCTCTCCTGTCGTCTTTGCACGGTGCATTTACATTTTGTGTCGTGCGGGCATGAGCCTTGAAATACGCGGCCTACTTACGAGGCCTGGCAGAAGCCAAGAGACAGAATTGGAGACAAAAACTGCAGCCAAGCAGGGTGTGATAGGAGACCAAATTCATTTCTAAGTTCTTTTCTTAATTAAAGTATTGATTTTCTTTCAACACAGAGTATACCTCTGTAATATCACTTTTGCTTCTTGGGAGAAAGTTCAAACTACATAGTTTATGGCCTTTCAGGATCTGGCCCGGCCAACCCACCAGCCTTGTGTAATTGGGAAAAGTGACCTGTTTTTGGTCAAACATGTCGCAATCCTGGAGCACCCATCAATGTGTGTCCCCTGCCCCTGCCACTTTGCGTACAATTTGTTAGTGCATCTGTCTCCAGTATCAGAACGTAAGCTCTGCAAGGATGGGCACTTGTCTTCATAGGATGACTGCTAGGTGGTCATGCTGGAGAATTTTGATAAATCATCTGGCCTTTAAGCAAATCCCCAGTACAACCCCAAGGAACCTTTACTGCTGCTTCCTCATCACCCCGTACTAAATGTCCTTCTGATGGGGAAAACTCAGGCTTCTGTGCGTCCCATTAGTTCTTAAAGTGTAGCTGACCCCCCTGCCCAGTGTGGCACCTTCTTTGTATAATAAACTTCTAGTCATCTTTTGGGATCCGGATCGAACTCCAGCTCCCCACCTCACTCAGCAGCAGTGTCTTCTCAGTGCTCTGCTCCTGGACTGCCGTCCTGCTGCCTCTGGGACGGGGCTCACCATGGTGCATTTGCCCATCTCTCTTCCCTGCAGGCAGGGATAGCCGTTATAACTTTTAAATACTTGACGTGTGGAATTAAAAAATGAAAATCTTCCCCTCCCAGTTCATATAGAACAGGACAAAGTAATTACATTTGGGGGTCTCACTTGACAGTGCTTTCTCCTGTAATTTCTGTTTTTAACTACATATGAGGTTTTTTGGTGTCTGCTTTTAAAGCCTTTTGTGTGTTTATTTATTTAGTCATTCCAGTAGATTTAGGGGGCACAGTGATTTTTTGTTGTTGTTGTTTTTACAGGATGAATTATATAGTAGTGAAGTCAGAGCATTTCACGTGCCTGTCACTGGAATAGTATACATTGAACCCCAAAGTAGCTTTTGGCCCCTTCCAAGCCTCCAAAGTCCTTTATTCTACTCTGTGTGGCCATGTGTACCTAAATACTCCTGAGATTTGTTTATCTGTCCCTGAGAGACTTCACATGGGATTACGAAAGCCTTCTGTTTGTTTGTTCATGTATCTGTTCGTTTGTCAAACATGTTTGGAGGGTTTATTGTGTGCCCAAAGCTAGAAATGGAAAATTTTAATATACAACCTCAGCCTAGTTCGAGGTAAAGGAATTGGGGTGAATATTTCTTAATAACTATTTGATAAAATATATATAATCCCTAATATATTCACCTGCATCAAACCAAGGAAATGATTAATGGTTGAGAGGCAGCAACCAAGGAAAGACACAGAAGGTCCCAGCATGGCTGCTGGCAGCTCCTCAGCTGTCCTGTGTGCGCCTTTTGAAGTTGTGCCGGGGAATATCTGAACAGACGCTCGGAACCCCTCCATCCATAGTCACTTTGAAGAGCATTGCATGAGGGAAGGGTGAGAAGCTGGGAAAACAAGGCTCACGTTCCCACTTCTCATGGTCTCAGGTCCACACAGGGACAAGAACAATGGTCTGTTTTATAAGGGTTTGCACTGAATTGGAGGGAATAATTCCAAGCCCAGGGATATTCACAACAGGAATAGAATATACTCCACTAGAAGAGGGATTTCTGAGGAAAGGTATATAACAAAACCTTGGCTGAGTGCAGAGCCCCAGAGACCCCTGGACGTTTCACTGGTCACAGAGAAGTGGCCCCTTCCAGCCCCATCAACCATCATTTGTCCAAGAAAAGTAGATATTACAGTAATACCCCAGGCTAAACTGCAGTTAGGAGGGAAAGAGAAATCATCATTTCATGAGGTTAAGAGAGCATCAAGGACAATTCCACATCAAATCTCTTCTAGGTGGGGTGGGAAGCCGGGGGGTAAATACTTCATCCAACACCAATAAAGGCAAATAAACATGGGCATCTACCAATAGAGGGATTTGGAATAGTCTAGGGCTATAGGCCAGTGTGGAGTGACCTTCTTACCCACCTATAATCACTTCCTGGTCCATATGTTAGGTATCACTGTCTTTGCCAACTAATGGGAGAGTGTTTATTATTACTTTTCCTTTAAAAAAAATTTCAACATCTATACCATATTTTGAGTTCCATCCCTTAAATCTAAAGTCTCTGTTACTTTTCAAATGTGAAGGATATTCTAATCAACTGCATGCTCTATGTAGACATTATTCCACCACTTCTGTTCTCCTTCCTGTCATACTACATTAGGTTGGGCAAACCAAAAGGAAACCTCAAAGTCCTTTTATCTATCTCCTTAAAAACCAGAGCAATCTTGGCTGTGTGCTAACTTTCTGCACTGGTGCCTTCCTAGTTCCTCAAGGTACAGTCTACTCACATAGTCCTATCCAGGTCCCTCTAAACATCATTGTATTTAAGAAATGCCTTCATTCCTTCAACCAGTATATCTCTCCAATCTGATCTGAAGACACATGTGTCTTCCACAGTAATTATTTTGCCTTGTTCTTATATTAAATAAATAGGGGGAAACAGAATATTTGCATATTGGAAGATACATGCTATTTCTATTCTGCATTACAGATCTCTCGAGTCATCCGCACTCCTCGGGGAAATGCCCTCCTGGTTGGGGTGGGTGGATCGGGAAAGCAGAGCCTCACAAAGTTGGCTTCCTTCATTGCTGGCTATACTTTCTTCCAGATCACTCTGACAAGGTAACATGCTTTTTAAAAACTTTAACCTAAAATAGATTTTGATAAAAGGTTCTCAGAGGCCAACTGAAGTTGAGAATGCATTTTTTTCTTATATACACTGTTAAACGATTCAGTGTGCAAACTCATCCTTAAAATAGTGGTATATATCTCATTGCGGAATATCACTACAGTCACCTTGGAAGTACTCCCCTTAGGAAGCTATGCCCTGACACCAGCACCTAGTCCACCCAGAAAAGCAATTTTGGAACTTTTTTCTGGAATGACCATCAAAGCTGTCATCATGTGGTACAGAAAAACACACAATAATGATGAATGCCTCTCAGCAAGATGCCACCAAATGCTGACAGGAATACAACTGTGAGACATTGATATACCAAGGTTATGAAGGTCACCAAATTGTTTGTACAGTGCTGCCAATGTATATGCATGTTGGCAAGTTCTTGAAGTTAATTGCCACACCTCATGTGATGATAGCTCTGATAGTCATTCCAGATAAAGAGTTCTAAAATTGCTTTGAAGGGTGGACTAGGCTGGTGTTGGTGTCTAACTTCCCATGAGGAGTACTTTGACGGTGACGGTAGTGATATTCTACAATGAGGTAACTCTAGGATGGGTTTGCCACCTTAATTGTCAGACATTGATTTTCTTTCTTGAATGTTGACTTATCATCTTTCTCTTTCCCTGTCATAGCCCATGAAAATTTACATTAATAATTTGCTTTTGAAACATTTCATTTTCTCATTTAGCGAAAAGCTACCTCCCTGTTTTTTATTTTTTTAATGTTACATGTTAGTATTATATGTTCTCCTTTTCATGCATTTCAGGAAAACTTTACCCCAACTAAGTATTAATTCAGATTTCAAGAATGTTAATACAATAGAAAAATAAAGAAATAGTTTATATTGATTTACCCCATTCAAACATTTCAAAATGTGTATTAAATATTGTTGTCAGGCACTACTTAGGTAAGCACAGTAAATGCAGTGTGTTTCATTGTGGAGCTTATAATAACAAATGAGCAACCCACCCCGTAAGGTGTGATTTATAGGTATTAACTATGATAAGTGCAGACCAAATCCTACTGATGTATGGTGGGGGGCTCCTACCTAGTCTAGGAGATGATTAGGAAAGACTTCCAGGGAAAGTGATTGAACTGAAACCTCAAGATAAGTAGGACTCATCTCAGAGAATAATAGCAGAAAAGAATTTACTGTGTGGAAAGATTAGCACATGTGAAATCAGCTCGGAAGAAGTTAAATAAAGCTGGGTGGATGAACATTAAGTGGCAGGTGCGAAGGGAAGAGAGATGGAGGTCTTTAAAAGAAGACAAAAATTGAGGCCTCATTCTGTGCCAGCAGCAAACCATCAATGAGTTGCTGCTGAGGAGGATGGGTCTGATTCGTATATACAGAAAATAGGTGGGAGGAACTAAGTCAGAATAGTTATAAAGCCGTCTCAGGTGTATTATGGTGTCATGAGTGGTAGCGGTAAGGATGGGGAAGTGGAGGGTGGAGATGTAAGACATGGTTAAGAAGTTAAAGCTTTTGGACTTGGTGGGTCCTGGTTTCTGGCTTGGGAAACTAGCTAGATGGTACTGCTACTCATTAAGGCAGGGAACTCCGTAGCGGTTGCCCTCAAATGAGTATGTGCAGTGCAAGGAGAAAACAGAATTATCCAGTCAGTAGTAAACATGAAGAGAGAAGCAGGGGTGATTCAGAGAGGTGAAACAGACGTTCACAATTACCCAAGACAAGGTTGGACGCAGGAGCTAGTCTGGGGAGTTTTTTGAGGGTGAACATTATTTGAGGTTAATTTCTGGGCGTGGAAGTGGAAGTCTTTCCTACTGGGCATTGATGAGCAAAATAAGCTGGTGACCTGTCTCATGGAGGGAGGCCCAGGACACCTGCTAGGACACAGGCCGAAAGTCATTAAACATGGTTTGGAGATCCTGACACTCAAGTTGTTTTTGATACACTATGCACTGAACTATAGGGTTCTTCCCGGACAATAAATCCAAAGATTGATATTTATTCAAGTACTAGAGCAGAGAGAAATCATTCTGGGTACTTTGCATATAATTCCTCTAGTTTATAGATAAAAGTTGAGCCTGATAAAAGATTACCTGTACAGGAAAGGGATTGGGCTCCGAGATTTTTGTTCCTAATATATGTATAAAAGCTCGTAGTTTTCAGTGTGCTTTTACATGCATGAGCTAATTGGATCTTCAAAAGAACTTTGTGAGTTAGAAGAATATGTAGCAATAGTCCATCTTGCAGGTGAAGCTCAGAAAGACTGAATTTCCTGACATCCGAGATCTTGCTGGAAACTTAGTGTTGGATTTCTGGTTTTTAGTCTGGTGTGACTTGTGCTGCATCAGAATACCTCAGCAGACTCATCCAACCACAACTCTCACAGCGTTAAATTGTTTCCCATACTGGGAATCATCCATTACAGATGAAATGAAGGGCCAAGCTCTTCCTTTCCTTTTCACAACGTTTGGGATCCAACTCCTTAAGCTTTTGCACAGCCATGTGGCCAAGGCTGGGTTGCAAAAGCCTCACATTTGGGAAGCACAACCATTTGTTAGAGATCTCAGATCCCATGATGTGAGGAGAGGGCCCTTGAGATCCAGAAAATGGGGTTGAAAAATTTCCCCAGGAGAGATGTTTCCTTTTGTTATTTTGTATTTTCATAGGAGACTGTGTTTTTGAAATGTTTTCTTTTCCGATCTCTTGGATCTCACTTTTCTAAACATCTTACAGAAATACTGATGCTTGGCCATGACACTCCCAATTCTAGGGTTTAGGTTATAGATGTTAAAAGTGAATAGAGTTAAATATTTAGTAACTTTAAAAAATATCAAATGGCCATTTGCTCTCGTGCTCTGAATTCTGAGTTTATTTAATGATGCAAGATGCAAATAATAATGTAGTCAGCCTGATCAGCAGGATTAGAATATTGTCATTTATACATTTGGTGGAAATGGCCTACTCCCGGTTGGGACCTCTTTAACATCTCTTGATTGTAGGGTGACTTTAGCTTAAAGATTGCTCTTGATAGTGATAGAAGACTTGAAGTGGGATATTTTACAACATTTCTGGCTATTATGTGTACTGATTGCTCATAAAAGGAACTCTTTTGCATAGAATCAAAGATGTGATGATAATAAGATATTGGGGGATGAGGAAGGTACCGTTTATAACAGGGCATCTCCCTCACCTCATATAATCACAGCTTGAATTGATTTAGTTTAATTTATGAAATGTCTTCTAAAAACAAATTGCAGATGGGTGCTTAATGCATATTCTAATTTGGCTTTTCTATTATCACTTGTATACACATTGGGATGACATATGATTGCAGTAAAAATTTTGTTTTTCTTTTAGTTTGACTTCTTGTTCTAGCTTTTTTGTGTAAAGATGTAATTATAATTGTTTTATGAAACATGGAGCTTTAAAAATCAGTTAAGTAGCCACATTCATATATAATACATGCCTATATCATGGGACAAAATCAGGCTTTTTTTGTTAGCTAACTGGTATAAAGTATTGTTATAAGATTTTCCCTTTCCCATGAAAATATTTTAGCTAATAACCCACTGGCAATGTTTCCTTAGATCCTACAGCACATCAAATCTGATGGAGGACCTGAAGGTTTTGTACAGAACTGCTGGTCAACAAGGCAGAGGCATCACTTTTATTTTCACAGACAATGAGATCAAGGAGGAGGCATTTTTGGAATACATGAACAACGTCTTATCATCGGGGGAGGTAGGAGCTCATTTGCTCTTCCCATGCTTTGTTTCCTTGGATCTCCTTTTATTAGAGTTTTGAGCAGGTGCTATTGGAGATTAAGTGATCAGCATATTTTCTGTGGGATTTTTAAGGCCTGCAACTCCCCGTCAAAATGTGGAACTGAGCATTTAAAACGTCAGTGAATACCCCCAAGTGACAGATGACAACAGAGGAGGGAGGTGAGGAGGAAAATGGGGGAGACTTTTAGAATGTCCCTTGACCCCCTGCCAGGGCAATACCTTGGCAGGTAACAGCAGAATCATTTGTGTGTATTTTAAAATTTGGTGACTTCACCGTGAAAACTTTCAGTTAATTTTTTAAAGGTGAGCTTAAGAACTCAAATACATATTGAGCTCTATGTCTGGATGTGTTTTCATATGTGTGTCTTCTTTTAAGGTCTCCAACCTATTTGCTCGAGATGAAATTGATGAAATTAATGGCGATCTGACATCATTCATGAAGAAAGAATACCCCAGGCGCCCTCCCACCAATGAGAACCTGTATGACTATTTCATGAGTCGGGTCCAACAGAACCTTCATATCGTGCTCTGTTTCTCGCCAGTGGGGGAGAAATTTCGAAACCGAGCTTTGAAGTTCCCTGCCCTCATTTCAGGGTGCACCATCGACTGGTTCAGCCGATGGCCTAAGGATGCTTTAGTTGCAGGTTAGTATGGTGGAAATGTTTATGGCAAGCTTTTTGGTTGACTGTATTTGTTTATTTACATTCTGTGCCACTTGCTGACTCTATACTGGATTGAGCAAACTCACTTTGTCCAATAGTCAAGCATTTTTGCTCCACGGTGATGCCCTTTCTTAGTGAGGAGCTGATTTTTCCCAGGGTGTGGTTGTCAGAGAATGAGGCCTCCATCTGCATCCCCTTGGCTTGAAGGCTTTGCCTTAGATGGATCCCAGGCAGGTTCCAGGATGCCACAGGAGGGCAATGGAGGTTTTATTTCATGGATAGTGTTGTTTGGGTTCTTTTAAAGTGGGGTTTATTGACCCAAATTATCTCTTGGACATTTTCTCACGGCTCAAGTACAGGCAATCAAAGAAGAAAACATTACCCAGCAATCCAGTGCTGGGCTCTGTCCTTGACAAGGAACATTCACCGAGTGACTCCTGGCCAGAGTTCTTACTGCTACTCCTCCTTTCTGATCTTCCATGCCATGGCACATGAACACTGCCTTACTCCGGAAAGGAAATTGGAACCGTAAAAGAAGTCGGGGAGATGGTACATTATACCTTCAGTTCACATCCCCCTCCCCAGACTTTTGGTGAGAAATAATCTGTGGATATTTTAAAAGATGAAGATACTTGAGTCTCATCCCAGACCTAGTGCACCCGAACCTCAGGAGCACCCTGATTCAGGGTGGTGGTTTGCAAATTTTTTCCTCATTTTTGAGCTTTAAGCAGAAGAGCCTTATTTCCTGTTAACACGTTACAGGTAGCCCTCATAGATCAAATGGTAAAGAGTAGAAGCGGGGAGAAGTGTCTGGGGCCTCACCCTCCAACCCCTATGCCCCACTCCTGCCTCTCCAGCTCGTGGTACTCCATCTGAGAAGGCTCAATTAACCCCTCTCCTCCTGCACTTTAGGGAGGAAGAGACGAGGGAGAGTGAAATCGAGGGGTTGTCAGAGATGGAAGGAGCCAGTGGGATGAGCAGTGGGGCTGGAGACTACAGGCTGCCTCCCTCTATCTAGTACCACCTTTCTAGCTGTCTTTCATCTGTGTCTATCAGTTGTAAATGTTTTATCTATCATCTGTCATTTATCTATCAATCGTCTATAAATTAGATATTGTTTGTCTGTTACCTATTTATCACTTATAAATTATTTGTCTATCATCTACCTCTTAGTCATCTATAAATGATATATTTATGTAACACCCTTATAATTTTTAAAGTTTTTATCTCTTTATGAATAATATATATATTATTATTTACCTATCATTTATCTATCTTTCATCTATTATCTATATATTTATCATTTATAAATTATTATCTACCATTTATCATCTCTATCATCTGTAAATTATGGATCATTTATTACTTATAATTTATAAATTATTTATCATCTATATATCTAGCATCTATCACTATCATTTTCAAATTTTTTGTGTATCTTTTTATCAGTAATTTATAAATTATATGTTTACCTCTCACCTATCATTTATATATTTATCTATCATTTATAAATTCTTTATCATACACTGATCATTTATCATCTATCTTTTTGTTAATCATCTATAACTTATATATTTATCTATCATCTATCTATTTTTTTAAACAATCTCTTACCCACTAGAAAAGTTTTATTTTTAACACACCACTATTAACAATAATGGTTTTTCAACCAAATGAGGCTTTTAAACACAGAATATTTAAACATTTTTGAGATAACGTACAGTCCAGCTTTCTCTTTGTCTTGTGAAGCATGAGAAAGACCAGTGATTTAAAATTTTAAATTCCATAAAAATTTAAATGCAACAAGTGGTAAGATTCAAAAGCGCCTTAAAATTGGAGACACATGCAGAGCACAAGTCAAGACGATTTCAGAGCTGTATTAAAGTTTACTATGAAATATGATGATTAGTATGCAAGTACTTTGTCAAATGCCACGGAGGCTTTTACCCTTAATAATAAAAGTACCAACTTCAGGTGACAAATACTGTAATATGCCACAATTAAGCCGATTTAATTTCAATATGGAGGTTTTCCTGCTAAGTCCCTGTTTCAGTGGTCCCTTCTTTTATAAGACAAAGGTCTTATTTCTTATCGATCCTTCCCGTAGTTAATCTCTCACAAATCCACCCCATTATTTTCAATCTCTTCATACATCCTGAGCCCTGATCACATGGAGGGCTGGGAAACTTTCATTTCCATGTCCTTAGTTCCTATCCAGTGTCCTAACCTCCGTGAGCAAATCTATTTGTTTATTCAAAGACGTTTATTGAACTTCATACCATTTATTTTGTCAGGCACGTTGGAAGACGACGCAGACTTGCTTCTTCACTGCAGGGTCTCTGCCCAGGAGCGCTCACCTGAAGCCTCCTGCACAATACACCCCATCAGCTTTTAACTCCAGCCTGGCCTGTCTCTCCTGGCTTGACGTCTGTTACTCCGCAGCCTGTTTCATTCATCCGTATGTCTGAAACTGCACTGGTTCTCACCTCTGCTCTCCCTCTCTCTGGAGGTGCCATCCTCATTCATCAGACCAAGCCCTCAGAGACCTTTTGTTTTCAACACCTCCCCTTCCTTCCCCTCTCAGGTCTTATCCATCACCAACTCGTGTCAACTTTTTCTCCTAAGTATCGGTGAAATCTGTCCAACTCCCCCTTTCGCTGACAGCCTAGGCCAGGCTATCATAGTCACTCACCTGGAAACCCAAATAGCTTTCTAATGGCCTCTCCTCCCATTCCACCTGTCTCCCATCCATCTCACCCTGCAGACAGAATCATCATGGTGAGCGCGTAGCCCCAGTCACATTGTGCTTAAAACCTTCCGCGTCGTCTCACTGCTCTCAGGCAGTGTCTTTGGCATGACCTTCGTGGCTGGCAAGAGCTGGCCGGACTGACCTCTCCCGTCTCTCCTGAGGTCACTTTTTCTTCCTGCTCTATTTCCTAGATCCTTGAACATGCTGTTTTCCTTTGCATGCAAAGCTCTTCTCCCGTTCTTCCTTGCATACGCCTCCTTTGTCTGGAGGATGCTGGCTCTGTTAAATATCACCGCATCTGGAAAACCTTCCTTTGTTTCTCTCTGCTTCCTCCCAAAGCCAGATCCCTGTTATCCACGTCGTAGCCTCTGTGCTTTTCCTTCTTGGGACTAATCACAGTTAGTTATCTATGTCTCTAGTTGGATGATTTCTTTGATTAAGGCCCCTCTATCCTGCTAGACTAAAAATCTCCACGAGGGCAAGAGCTATCTTTTGTTCATCATTTCATAAGCTACAGAGTTTGAATGAATGAATGTGTAAAAATTTCTCATCTTTCCATATCCTGGCCCTGACTCCCTTGCAGTCTTTCTGTAACTGGACATGAGCCTTCTCCTTTTTTACTCAAAGTCAACTTCTTTGTCCTGTGAGCATGCTTTCATCATCCTTATCCTTCCACACGCGTCCCCATGTCAAGAATGTTCTTACACTTTCTTTTCCAAAGCTTAATCAAGATTCAGCACACCCTGGCTGGGCGTGGTGGCTCACGCCTCTAATCCTAGCACACTGGGAGGCCAAAGGGGGTGGATCACCTGAGGTCAGGAGTTTGAGACCAGCCTGAGCAAGAGTGAGACCCCATCTCTACTAAAAATAGAAAAATCAGCTAGGCATTGTTGTGGACACCTGCAGTCCCAGCTACTCAGGAGGTGGAGGCAAGAGGATTACTTCAGCCTAGGAGTTTGAGGTTGCTGTGAGCTAGATTGATGCCATGGCACTTTACCCAGGGTGACAGAGGGAGACTCTGTCTTCAAAAAAATAAAGTTTTGTCACATCTTTCAGTCCTCTGTTCACTTAGGAATATTTAAAAATTTTCCCCTTTCTTAGACCTCCTGTATCTGTAACACTTGCATTTTATATAATGAACCTGTACATTTAGATTTTTTTTAAATCTTACGGTAACCAGTAAGATTTTATGGCTGTATCTCCAATATCTTTTAGTAAATATTTATAGCGTGCATTCTGTATGGATACCTAGTATGGTGCTAGTTGTAATAATGGCTAAAATAACTAAAAGACATGAAGATGTTCCTTTCCACAATAAAAAATCGTGCTGGGAAAACCGTGTTTAAACACCTAATACTAACCTGCTTTGTGTTATTTGAAAAAAATACCATCTGTGGGTATTGAAAGCACTTAATACGCTAGGGATTTCAGTGGCATTTCTTCTTTTTAGAAAATCAGCATCAGGGTTTCTAGAGAAACTGTTATTTAAATTGCCTTAAGGATGCTGATATTGAATTATATTATTCCTCACTGCATCAATAAGGAAATATATCATTTCGTATGTGTTAGCATTTCATTTGTATTATAAGAAATATCTCTAATAAAAAGTGTTAATTATTATGAATGTCTCTAAAGAAGTTCCATAGGTTAATACTAGATTTTGTAGTATTATAGTAACTATAGTACTTTTGAAAAAAAGTGAATTTGTTTCTATGTATGAATTTAAATTGGCTGAATATCTTGATGGAAGAGACATTTAAAGAAAAATCTGCGTTGTTTTATGTTGTAAAATCCCTGATGGTGGCCCTCAACCTGGCATTTCTGCCTTGGTGACTGGACGTTGAAATCTCAGGAGGGCTTGCCGTGGCTTCTTGACTGAATGTCAGCAGGCCTGGGGCTAAGAAGGAGTGTTCTGGTATTTCGTATAACCTTTCCTACACCAGAGATTGTGAGTCTGTGGGAAAGTAGACTTAGAATCTGTCTAATTTTTATTTCTCTTTTTTGGAGAGACAAAGAGATTACTTGCTACGTAAAGAGAAAGGTCATCCTTATAGATACTGTCTGTTCCTTTCCTTGTACTTTCCATGTCATACAAGGACATTTTCAGAAAGGGGGTCCTTCCCTGAGCACATCCCGTGATGCCAGAGAGCTTAGCACTGTGCCGGGGATGCAGAAAATGGTGCAACCATTGGGCTAACACTCAACCCAATTTCTTTCTGGGCAAAAAAATGTTTCCAGTGCTTAGACTTAAGTGTCCTAGAATTTGAATTTTTCTTTGTTTTGTTGCTCATCTTATACACAAAAATAGGACTTCTGATTATCTTAATTTACTGCTGCTCAGTGTATGGTAAACTGCATGTTTAACCACCAAAGTGATGAGCACTTTCTGTTATTTACACCAGCGGTTCTCAGCCTGCGGGTCACGATCCCTTTGTAACAATGAGACTCAGACCTCCAACCCCTCAGACTGTTGGAGGGCTGGACTGCAGGCCCCAGGACGAGTCGGCTGCTAAGCAGGACAGGCAGCAGCGGCAAAAATACCCCGTGGGCCGGATAAATGTCCTAGGTGGGCTGCATGTGGCCCGCGGGCTGTAGTTTGAGGACGCCTGATCTTGATGTATTTGCTGACGGTCACCTGTTAGACTTTCTCACTGCGTCCCTTGTCTTTCCTTCTTGTTCTTATTGGCCATGTATCTTTTTACAATCCTTATGCACGTCGGCTGTTTCTTCTAATAAAAAAAATGGTGGTAATAATTTTAACGGCATGGCGCATAACCTTGTAAATTCTTTGGGATTGAGAGCAAGTTTCATATTCCCCTTCCATTCTGAGGCATCCTTGACTGTGGTGCCTGTCGCAGGCATTTGGGATACATGTGGTGATTGACTGGCTGATGTTATAGCCTATTCGTGTAGCAGGAAATATGTCTTTGAATTGCTCCCCTGTTTGACACTGTGGGGAAGGTGACAGTCTCCACCAGGAGATTTTTAGCCAAACATTTCTAAAGAATGCTGTAAATTAGGACTGACCACAAATGGCCAGCTGCCACATTTAAGAACAAGATGACCCAGGCATAGCACCGTATAGTGAGGAACATTTCCAAATGCCAAATGCAGTCAGAACCTGGGGGAATTAAGGCTATGACAGGTTCTAGGTAAAAAACTAAATGGGATTGTTAAATACGAGTACCAGGTGGGCACTGATTGCTGAGTTATTTGTACCATTTTGTCCTTATGTAAACCATAAAACAGGTGGGCTGCTGCCCGGAACCTGCAGCTGTGCAGAAGAAACTTCTTTGCATGAGTACCAGAAAACAAAGAATGATGATAGCTTTAAAGTATTTTATAGTTTTATACATAAAACAGAAAATAAAATTGTTGATGTTATAAGCCTGGAGCCAAAAAGGCTGACATAGATCTACCTAGCTGGGGCTACAAAAATAGTATGCAGTCGAAGAAATAGCTAAGTCTTAAAAAAACCCAAAAAACAGTTAATTAAAAAAAAAGGCCATTCACATTCATGTGTGTGTTTCCCACCCTGTCATCTTACTGTTTCTAGTGTCAGAGCACTTCCTCTCTTCCTATGATGTGGACTGCAGTTCGGAAACTAAGAAGGAGGTGGTTCAGTGCATGGGCTCCTTCCAGGATGGGGTGGCCGAGAAGTGTGTCGATTATTTTCAGAGATTCCGACGCTCTACCCATGTGACGCCCAAATCGTACCTCTCCTTTATCCAGGGGTATAAGGTCACATATAGAGAAAAACACGAGGAAGTGCAGACCCTGGCCAACAGGTGAGTGTGAGTCCAGATACAAAGTGGGGAGGGGGGAGGCAGGGTTCTCAGCCGGGGGCAGATTTGCCCCCCGTGGGCAGGTTGCGATGTGTGGAGATGTTTTTGTTTGTTACAGCTGGGGCGGCAGGGCAGGGAAGGGGTACTACTGGCATGGAGAGGGTAGAGGCTAGAGATGCCGCCGAACATCCCAGAGTCATGGGGCAGCGCGCGCAACAAAGAATTATCCCACCACGGTGTCAGCGTGCAGGGGTTGAACACCCCTGCTCTACAGCCTATCTGGAGGGTTAGTCCGCGGTTCCTAAGAGCTTTATTGCTGCCCCAAAGGGGAAACTGTTGCCAGGGTTTTAGGTGTCCTACCATTTTATCACAGGAGCAGTAGCTCTGGAAGGGAGTGGAGAATAGACATCTCCCCCTCCGTCCTCTCTGCTGTCTCCTTCTACCCTTCTAAATGCCTGAGAAGAGCAGGGCTACTGCAGGTAGGCACTGCTGAGGGTATGCCCTGCTTCTCTGAGTTTGTTCCCAATTTCACTGCCATGCCCTGTGCTTTTCTGAATGTCAGATCTGCCAGAACATGGCCGAATCAGCCAGGGTAACAATGTGGGAGTGATTGCGCTAACTGGCTCTGAGGGCTCCCATCTTTAAGATCACATTATTTCAGGTTCAGGCAGGCAGCTAGTTCCTAAGGCTGTTCTGATGGCTTTAGATTTCTTTTTTTCTTAAGCCCCAGTTTTTCTTTTTTAAACGTCATTGTTCTCTTTTGAAAAACAGAAGTTATTTATTTTCCTTCTTCATGAAAAAGCTTTAAATATTTGAAGTCTGTTGTCAAGTAGCCTAATGTCATGAGGATGTTTCCTGCATGAGGCTGATTTCTGAACCCTGCCCCGTGGTTCCTCACTTCGTAAAGCGTGTTGCCGCAGATTCCCTTCCCACGTGGGGTCTCTGAAGAAGGCAGATGTTACTTAGATGCTTCTGCCAAGCCTCTTAAGTTTGCTGTTTGCACACACCCATTCTTCAGATATTCACTCGTGGACCATTCCTTGGAAAATGTGGCCAAGCACCACAAATTTTAACATGGCTCACTTGGATTTCCAATTCTAGAATGAATACTGGCTTGAAAAAGCTAAAAGAAGCTTCGGAGTCTGTGGCAGCCCTGAGCAAAGAACTAGAAGTCAAAGAAAAGGAGCTACAAGTGGCCAACAACAAGGCTGACACGGTGGGTGGACCTTCACACCTGTGCCACGTCCCCTTGGAATCCCCAGTTCACAAGTGTTGACAGTATGTGCATGTTCCCTAAATTAGAACCAGGAAGTATAAATGATTTATTTCCTTTGGCATAAAATGTTCTTATTATATGTATGAGAAATTGGCGAGGTGGACAAGCACTGCAAATCCAGGCAAGGATGAGCATTTTCAGCTGGGTCTTTGGTAATTTTTGACCCGGTGCTTTTTGCTGTATATTGAATTAGGTCTTAAAGGAAGTGACAATGAAAGCACAGGCTGCAGAGAAGGTCAAGGCGGAGGTTCAGAAGGTGAAGGACAAAGCCCAGGCCATTGTGGATAGCATTTCTAAAGATAAAGCCATTGCTGAAGAAAAATTGGAAGCAGCCAAACCAGCATTGGAAGAAGCAGAAGCTGCATTGCAGGTAAATCTACGTGATAGAACAGACACCAGTTTTAGGGCCCAGGAGGCCGACTAACGCAAAAAACATCAGCACTAAAAGGAAGTGTTCTCCATGACGCTGGGAAAATCATAGCAGCTTTCTGAGATGACATTTCCTCACTCATTCATTGGAGGCATCGGAATAGGTGATCTGTAAGGTACAACTTCACTATCAAGTAGCCACATAGAGAACTGTTGATGTGTTGTAGCTCATTTAATGACAGAGTTTGGGGCAGGCTTCCTATGTGATTAAACAAAGCAGTTGGGTGGCAATAACAAAAACAGTGACATTTTAAAAGACATTAGATTCTGAGAAAATACAATGAGTCTAGTGGACTGGATCATACTTTAAAAGGCTGGTCTAGGTTAGAAGACTCAGTTCATACTCAACAAGTCCCAAGTGCATCCAAACTGACCTTTTGGCATCAGGTTACATAAATATATATATAAGATATCTTGTGCGGAGAATGTATTTCTATCTCAGCACTAACCTGACTTTAACCAGGTCCAAGCAAAAATAAAATCTACCTCCAGATGTTAAATAAGTGTTATATTGCCAGGATGTATAGAAGATTATGGAACCATCATATTGCTTTGCCTGCAAAGAAAAGAATTTTATACTTAGCTGAAACAGGTTGATTTTTAGATCTGTCCTTCCCTTCAAGTCCTTTTTACCTGGGTCCCTAACTTAGCATAATTCTTTTTGAAAATTCCTTCTTAAAGGTAAAGTAAAAAGCCCTTACATCTTATATGACTTTAATTTGACCCTGCTTTCCCCACCGGCTGTTATTCTCTTTCCCTTTTTTATGGACAGACATCTGAAATAAAGGTCTATCTGCCACTTCTGGATCTTTACCACACATTCTCCTTAACTTCCAGCTGCCGGCTTTTCACATATGCTGGCCCATTCAAACAAACCTTTTCAAGGTGGACAGTTACATTTTTGATTTACTAAGTTCAGTGTTTTATCTTTTTTACCAGTTCTTAGAGAAAAGATTATTAGCCTCAATGAGAAAGTCATTGGTTACTATCACTGGTTATCTCTGGATGGGAGGGATGGAACACAAACCAGATGGAAAGTTTTCAAGACCTGAAGGGACTGAACACATAGTATATGTCTTAGAAATAGGACTGTGTCCAATTCTTGTACTTAATGCTTATATAACACATAAGTCCATGAAGACTTTGAGAGTTTTCATCAACCAAACAGGTCAATGTGACTATTCAATAATTTACTTGATAAGAGTAGTAGCAATGGAATGGAACTTTCTGAGAGAGCGCTTAGCAAGATTCATTTCGCTCAAGTTCCTTCATTTAAAGGTCAGTTCCCAGCTAAGAAACCTCTAATTATTCAGTCTGTCAGCCCTGCGGCTACCCTCTGGTGACAGGACCCGGTGACAAGTCTGAGTTGGTTAGGAGAGAGGTGGACTCCTGACCTACATAGCTAATGAGCAAAAAGCACTGGCAATATTGTATTTTTCCCGGTTTCGAACCCTGATAATCGACTTATGTGCTGAGTATTCTTTTTCTTTCTGATTACGCTTTTCTCTTTTTTCTGGCACAAAGTGGACTGTACAGTTTTAGAGAAGTCACAGGTCCTCATCTGCTGGCCAACATTTCTCTCCTCTTGTTGTCAGTTTAAATAGTAAAATCGTGAACTTTGGGACTTTGGGGGGTATTAAATGGGCTCTGCATCTGATTTAGAAATGTTTTGTGTCCTCTGCTGAGATGGCAGCATTCAGACATGGAAGGCTGGCTTGCCTGCACGTTCTTATCTGAGATGGGCTGACGTCCGCCTTTCATCCCCCAGACCATCAAGCCCTCCGACATCGCCACGGTGCGCACGCTGGGCCGACCCCCTCACCTCATCATGCGGATCATGGATTGTGTGCTGCTGCTGTTTCAGAGGAAAGTCAATGCAGTGAAAATTGACCTGGAAAAAAGCTGTCCCGTTCCTTCCTGGCAGGAATCTTTGAAATTGATGACTGCAGGGAACTTTTTACAGAACTTACAGGTTAGTAGTTCAACAGTGATGGGCTAAGGGAGAATTCCATCTTCACTGGGGTATCTGAGCCCTTTAATAGAAGATGTTTTTGAAAAGAATTCTTTCTGCATACGTATTCTTCCCAGTATAGAATTTTCTCTTTAAAATATAAGACATTGTAAACATTAGAGCCTCTTTCAGCAGATTTTAGTTATATTAAAGCATCAGTGGGGATATATATACTTCAATAAAGTGAAAAAAAGACATTTGAAGAAGATTACGTATGTGTATACAAAGGTGCACACATATTCACGTATTTATATTTTGCAAATCTTGGTAGAAAGGTTCTGGCAATCTTAATTTACAGTTTTAAAATTTTATTATGAGATAGTACTTACATGTAACAAGATGTATCAATTTTTTTTGCAGTTTTTGGCAGGGGCTGGGTTTGAACCTGCCACCTCCTGTATATGAGGCCAGCACCCTTCTTTTTTGAGCCACTGATGCTGCCCACAACATGTATAAAATTTAAATGTACAGCTTTATGAATATTTACGTCAGTATATACCTATCAGTGAACCCTGAAAGACCCTAGAAATCACTCCTGTGTCCCAACTCATGCAATAACTTCCCTTCAGATAATTATTATTCTTGTCTTTATCCAGATAATGAGGTTTTTCTGTTTTTGAAATGTGCACACATAACATTGTACTGTATGAGCTCTTGTTTTGAGTTCTTTCGTTCAACATGTCCGTGGGATTCATTCCTATTGTTGTGAAAGATAGTATTTCTTTCTTTTCTCATTGTTCTATGGCTCTCTAGCACACTGCGTGTAAATATACAGTTGTGTGTGTGGTAATGTTAAATAGCTGGTTCTTCAAGGAGGAAAGAAGAAAAAAAACAACACCTAAAAAAGATCGGAATTTGAAATATTTGCCCTGATGGTGTGTCTGCTCCCACCATGGCTATTTTCAAGCTACCAAGATGATGCCGCTGCAGGTGGAACTGGGAAGCGCTACACTGCAGCTCGCCCTTCATAGTATACCTCCCAAACAGGTTCAGAAGACCCACGCGACCTGAAAGCACAGGCAGGAGTCAAAGGGTAAAATAGTACAAAGTAGTGCATGTTGACTACCTGTTTATCTTCGTTTTAAATGTAATTTAATTAATTGCAAGTTCTATACAGTTGCATTTTTTACAGTGGCTGTGTTTAACAAGTCTGTAAAATTCCTGAAAATTTAACAGCTATGTCTTACTAGCACCAGTGTGAAAGACTATATTTTGCTTCAATTTGTTTTTCCTTTGTACTGTTGCTGAATCTTTTTGGCTGTTATTACATTTTGGCTATTACAAATAAAGCTGATAGGAACATTGGCCTATGGGTCTCGGTGGCAGTGTGTCTGCATGCATTTCTATTGTCTTTATATCTGGAAGAGGAATTTCTGGGTCTCTTACAAATTTTATCAGCTTTGGTGAATAGTGCCAATGAGATTCCAAAATGGCTGTGTCAGTCTGCACACTCACCAGCAAGGTGTAAGTTGCTCCACACCCTCACTATATTGTACTTTCAGTTATTCAGATGGGTCGGTGGTAGGGTCTTCTTGTTCCCTTAATTTGCATTTCCCTAATGACTAAGAACATTATCTTTTTATAGGTTTATAAACTTCTCGAGAAATTTTTTTGTTAAGTGCCTCTTGAGGTCTCTTGTCCATGTAAAATTTTTTTTATCACTTTGTAGAACTCCTTAACATATAAAACATGACTAACTTACTTATGAGTTTGCAAATGCCTTCTGCTGCTTTCTGGGTCAGTGTTCAGTCTGATAATGGTGATTAGAAGTTGTGAAGTTCAATGGAGTCAAATTAATTTATCAATATTTTCCCTGATAGTGTTTTCTGTGTTCTATTTAGGGGATTTTCCCCCCAGTCTAACACGGAATAAATTCTTCTATGTTTCCTTCTGGAAGTACTATTGTTTTGTCTTTCATATTGAAGTCTTGAGACAACTAACTGGGTACACACAGCCCACGTCCATCTCCCAAGCTGTAACTTCAGTGCTATCCTTCAGTCTTTGGACCACATTGCTCAAGTGATGGCCATTAACCTCACAGCAGCTGTGACAATAGGTAGCTTATAAAACTAGTGGAACATATGGACTTGTCCAAGTTAATTATAACATGAGACTCTCTGCCAATGACTTTGGACTTTGAACGGAATCCCAGCAGGTGACTCCAGGTTCCTGCCTCACTTACCTGGGGCCGAGCCCTGGCTCGTGGAAGCTTCATTGCTGTTGGTCTTTCTGTCACCTCCCTGATGTTCTTCTGGCTTTTCTCTGGCTTCACTATTTTTCAAGTCCCATAAGAGAAATTTGTGTTAAATGAGGTCTGAACGAGAGTGTGTTCCCCTCTGCATTGCATGATGTGTTCTGTGAAGGCTTATGTTATTAAATTATTTAGATGCTAAATTTCTTTCTATTTGGAAAACATTTAATCAAATCATCTTCTTTCAAATGATCAAACACCACTTTTAAAAGATCTCAATTTCGTTGTTTGGTCTTCTTTTTTTCTGATGCAGGAAGGCATTCTTAATTCATTTCTGCTACTATTTTAAAATTTTATCCCTTCAGCAGATAATAATTCTCTCATATTCTTGATAGTTCTATGATTAAAAATTAATTCATCACCCTCCAGGCCTAATGTCCAGGTTATTATCTTCACATTTCAGGTGAGTTTAATAAAACCTCTGTCTGACTACATTAAGTACTTAGTTACTGATAAATGCTAAATATTTGTGTCCTCAGGCTGAATGCACCTGTGTATGTGTTTGTTTTTCATTGGAGATTTTATGGGTTTGTGATTCATCTATTTAGGATTCATGACAAGCAATTTTTATTGCTTTGGAAGTTCTAATAACTGTAATGGTATTCATCACCTGAATAGTTTACTCTTTCCTTGGATCCCTGTCTATTTATTTAGGGTTGATATCTCTTTCCTACCAAAGACAAAGTGTACTCTAACCGACTTCTTAGCTGTCATTATCTGCGGTGCTTTTGCCTTTAGAACTTTTGCCTAATATGCTGAAATATTGACAAAATATTCACGTGATCCCATTTATCCACATGTGGTTGTTTCAATAGATTCAATGGCATGGATGGCATAGCGTGAGTAGTACTTCCTGGAAGGAAGTGTTTTCATTGTTTTTTTCTTTACTTTTTACATTCATAGCAATTCCCCAAAGACACCATCAATGAAGAGGTTATAGAATTCTTGAATCCTTACTTTGACATGGCAGACTATAACATCGAAATGGCTAAACGCGTCTGTGGAAACGTGGCCGGTCTGTGTTCCTGGACGAAAGCCATGGCGTCCTTCTTCTCCATCAACAGAGAGGTGCTGCCTCTGAAGGTGAGCCGCCTGGTGGGAGTGGGTGAAACGTGCCCGGGAGGAGTCTCCGGCTCAGCTGGTCCTGTCTAGTCAGAGTAGCGCAGGTACCTTCAGCCTCTGGTGCGACTGTCCACAGGCCTACAGGGAGGGCGAGCGGCAGAAAGGCTGAGCGTGCCTTTCTCCTCTGTCATGCCACAGTTTCATGAGCCTTTAAGCTTGGGCTCTCTACGAGGGGACTAAGTCCATACTGGGCTGCTGGGTATTTTCCCTCCCCAGTGGTTTTCTTTTTTTTTTAAATCTTGAAATCTTTAAATATTTTTTATTAGGGCTACATAATAGTTATATATATTTATGGGGGTACATGTGAAGGCTTAATACAGGTGTACAATGCGTATCAGTCAAGTCAAAGTAATTGGGGTACCCATTACCTCAAGCTTTTAGGAACATTCCAGTTCCATTAGTTATTCTAAAGTATGCCATAACTTACTGTTTATGGTCACTTTGGTTTGTTTATTATATATATTATGTTCATATATACATGAACATTGGTACATATATACATGAACATTGGTACATATATATTGAGTACCAATGGTACATATATATTGAGTACCAATTAACCATTCCCACTTTATCTCATCACCCTCCCTACCTTCCCAGCCGCTGGTGACCATCATTCCACTCTCTGTCTTCACGAGAGCAGGTGTTTCAATCTTTAGCTTCCACATGTGAGTGAGAACTTGGGAAGTTTGTCTTTTGGTGCTTGCCTTGTTTGACTTACAGTTCTCGGATTTCATCTAGGTCATTGCAAGTGGAAGGACTTCATTCTTATTTATGTCTGATTAATATCCCATTGTGTATAGGCACCACGTATTTTTTATCCATTCATCTGTTGATGGACAACATCAGAAGGGAAAATCTTTTATTTGCTCCTAGAAGTGGGAGTGCCCTCCTCCATTCTTATAAGCATCCAGCATCTTGAACCACTCAGCTTGGCAGGTGGTCTATTGCCTGTGTCAGATAGAAAAATACACATGGTTACATAGATCCTACATGTTCACTGTGTAGGGAGGAGTGGCAGATGGAGTGAGTTATCATCTAGTGATGCTATTGAATATATTAATACATATATTCAATTAATTATCATCTAGTGATGCTATTGATATATTAATAAATGCAAGACTGAGGCCAGGCTTGGTGGCTCATGCCTATAATCTTAGCACTCTGGAAGTCTGAGGCAGGAGGATCCTTTGATCTTAGGAGTTTGGACCAGACAGAGGAAAAGTGAGACCCTCTCTACTGAAAATAGAAAAAATTATCTGGGCATTGTGGTAGGCACCTGTAGTCTCAGCTACTCGGGAGGCTGAGGCAGGAGGATTGCTTGAACCCAGGAGTTTGAGGTTGCTGTGAGCGAGGTTGACATCATGGCACCATAGCCTGGGGGACAGAGTGAGATTCCGTCTGAAAAAAAAAAAAAATAAGAAAGAAAGCAATGTAGACTAAGGCCTCTAATTTCACTTATTGCTGGAGGGGCTTCACTTACCAATTCCTGCTTCCTAAGTGAGGAGAGATCACAGTCACTCGCTGAACTTCAGGTGGAGCCCCTTTGATGCTAATTCGGAAGAAACAGTTGAGGGGCTGTGCACTTTCATCTTGCAATCCCTGCAGATGGGCCAAATGACTTCCAGTAGTGCAAACGTTCTAACAGGCATTAATTGCTATGATAGCAACTTGGATTCTGTTTAAGCTCATTATAATGAGATTTCTCTTTGATAAATTTACGAAAATTGTGTATTCATCCTTGCTTTAAAAAGTAGAATCTTAAATATTGGACACAGGTAATAACAATGACAGCATCTATTGTTTATTGAAGTTTTGGTATGTGCTGGCTATTAGACTTGGGGTTTTATATATGTTATCTTCTTTAATCCGCACCAAAGACATGGGTGATAGTTTTCAGTTATTTTAACAGAGAAACTGGGGCTCACAGGGTCTAAGTAATGTGCACAGAGCTCTAGAACTTCTAACTTGAGCAATGAAGTCTGAAGGTTTTTGGTTAGAAACTGTTGAGAGCTTCATTTGATCAAAATGTTTATGTTTTGTGAATAAAGCACTAGAAATTGTTCACAATCTTTGAGGCTGTGATAGCATGTCATTAGTAGGTTACTGTAAATTATATGTTGTTTGACAGAGTGGCCTGACTTTTCTTTCATGTTTGAGCTATAGGAACAGTTGCAGCTTAGAGCACAGGGGAGAGAAAATTGTTACACCATTCAGCTTCTTTTTAAATGATAACTTTTATAGTGGCACTTTTGCCCGTCACCAGGGCTAGTCAATTATGGAATTCTGACTTTTTCCTTAAAGACTTATTCTGCCAAAATTTGAAAGCCTGGGGTTTTGAGATAGAGAGATAATTTATCTCAATTAAAAAAAATAATTATTACTTCTCTAACACCTCAGAAAAAATATGGTTTGTGCTAGTGGATCTGCTGTTGCAGTCAATTCTGACATTTGTAGACTTAAAAGAGAGAGACTTGATTTCAAAAAAATTCTTTTAAAGGACCCGAATCCCTGTAAACATAGGCTGTTTTTCAAACTTCATCTTTTGCTAATATTATTGCTTTTGATTACGTCTTTTGCATCTATTTTTAGTAGCTTTTTAAAAACAAGTATTTTTTGTTGGCCATAGCTCAAAGTATCAAATCTACTTTTATGGAAAGGAAGGAATTCATGAAAACCACGGGCACAGCAACAAGACCAAGACCGCCCCACCCCACAAACCCATCGTGAAGACACCCCACAAACCCACCGTGCTTTCATATTCACCAATAGTCACATTCTGACCTTTGTTACTTGTCCACATGATGAGTCTTGCGAGGCAGATAGCTCTACATACTCGGTTTCCCCCTACAACTCTTAATATTATGATATTCAATAATTTGCCTATACATATTTAAAATTATAGTGTTCTAGTCTAAAGATGGGTGAACTATGGCCCATGGGCCAAATGTAGCCTACTAGTTGTATTTGCTTGGCTCATGAAATAAAAACAGTTTCAACCTTTTTTTTTTTTTAATTTCTTACAGCATAACTATGTACATTAATGCAATCATGGGGTACAGTGTGCTGTTTTCATATACATTTTAAAATACTCTCATCAAACTGGTTAATAGAACCTTCATGTCATTTTCTTAGTTATTGAATCAAGACATTCACACTCTGCTTTTAGAGATTCACTCGTACCCTTGTAAGATTAACCATAGAGGTGACCCCACCAATCACCCTCCATCAACCTTTTTAATAAATAAATCTATGATAGCTCTGATTTTGCCTCTTCGCCCCAGAAGCCTGAAATGTTTGCTGTTGGGCACTTTACAGAAAAGGTGTACTGACTTCTGTACTAATAAACTGTGATTTTCACATTAAGATTTGGTGTTGATGATGCAATTTGAAAAGAGGCTGAGAAAAGGTACAAACCTGTAATTCCGATGAGTTATCAGATTCCGGCACGTGGGATGTTTGGAGGTTTGCTGCCACCTTTTTCCCTGTGTGCACCCTGTGTAGGCCAACCTGGTGGTGCAGGAGAACCGGCACGTCCTGGCCCTGCAGGACCTGCAGAAGGCTCAGGCAGAGCTGGACGACAAGCAGGCGGAGCTTGACGTGGTGCAGGCTGAGTATGAGCAGGCGACGGCTGAAAAGCAGGTACCTGTCCTTTGTCACGGGAGGGACAGTCACACACTTACACAGTGATTGTAAGCCTTGTTCCTTTTCTATTGTTACTCTGAAAATGTTTGGTTTTTAGGGGGGAATCAGTGAATTTATGCATAATACATTCATAGCTCATCATCCCTCCCTGAGTCCTGGACTTGGTTTCTAATAGATGCCAAGGGCCTTTCATGAGATGGCAGGGTGGTCAACCACAGTAAGCAGTCAGTTCAGGAACATAACCATTCTGAATTTCCTTATTAAGGATATGGTGATGATAAGAGCATCTTGTGTAGAATTTTTTGTTATATTTTTCAAATTCTGTCTTTCCACATGACCTCATTTAATCTGTGAAATGGCCTTGCGAGATGGGCAGGGTGTCTGTTTTTCTTCTCATTTTAGTGGAAAGGAACTGAGGCTTAGAGAGGACAAGAGACTGGATCCTGGTTGTGGGGAATCAGAGGTACTGTGGACTAGACCTTGGTCTTCTGATATTAATCTGAGGCCTCTGCTGGGTCAGTGTGAATGACCGTATGGCTGTATCCCAGCGACAATGATCATCTACAGCCGTCTCAACCTATGCACACATTGCAGCCTCAGCACACTTTTGGAATCTAGGTTTATACATTTTCTATTAGCTCTTTATTTTCACTTATACTAATGGCAGCTCCACTGGGGCCTCTTTCTTTCTGGTATTTGTGGCAGAGTGAACATAAAGCTGATGTAGCTTGAGCTTCAGGGTCCCTTGACTTGCAGAGGTCCTGGTGAGTGCTGGGGCTCCGAAGTTCTTGGGAATTGTAGAGTGTGACGTTTCCAGGTTATGATCAGCAAACATTCCCATGCCAGTGTTCAGGTAGAATAATGCCTAAAGAAACCTCAGAGGAAAGGCCCTGCGTTTCTTGCTACCAGGACTTTGTCATGATCTTCTCCCTTACTTTAAATACACACTCACTTTTGTATTTTATATTTGTAAAAATTCTCTAATGATTTTTCTTAAAGTGATCTCCCCAGATTATAGATGCTTCTGGCCTCACCAAACCTGTATCTGCCTCTGCTATACTCTATATTTGATAGATAAGAGCTAGATTCACCCTACTTTTCCCTGATTTTATGAGATTCACCCCTGGACACATTGAAATTCTTGAACTGTTGGTCTCATAGCCCCAATAAAAGTCTCAATAAGAGTTTAGACTAACATTTTGGTTAACACTGGATAGAGAGTGTATGGTATTTTCTCTTAAAGCTAAGTCTTCTAAAAGCAAAATAACAGCTTTTTAGGAGTTTTTTTTGTTTGCAGTTTTCGGCTGGGGCCAGGTTTAAACCCGCCACCTCCTGTATATGGGGCTGGCACCCTACTCCTTGGGCCACAGGTGCCACCCAGCTTTTTAGAATTTTTAAAGAAGTAGTACTTATATGCATTTATATTCTTATGTTCCATAAAATTCACTTACATAAGGAGAAAATTAACATTGCAGTTTGAAAGAGTGCTTTAGAAATGATGAGGAAGGCATGTCGATTTCTATTATTTTGGGTGCTGACTTAAATGAGGGAGTTATATTGAACACAGTGAAAATATTTTATGCTCCCATTTTATGTGTTTAAATTTTAGCATTTCATATTGATTTAGTTAATAAGCTTTATTGTTTCTGAGCGTCTTCTATTTGTGAGGTAAATAATCCTGGGACTACACAGGAATTGTTACTATAAAAATTCGGCTGTAACTTGAAAACTTGAGTTTTAACAAATGTCAAAATTTCTTTAATTAAAAAAAAACCTGGCCACGGGCTCACCTACTACCAACCCGTGAATCTGACCTTCGGTCATTTTTGTTGCTCTTTCCCCTCCAAAGAACTCCAAGACTGTTTCAGGGACTGGTGGAGCTCCCAGAAGGCCCGAGAAGGGCGTCAGGGCATCATGTCCTGGGTGTGCATGGTCCCTCGGACCTTTGTTTAGGGCCCAGTCTGCCCAGATCTCCTAGGAGTGAGGCAGCTCTCTGGACCCATGAGAGAGCTGGCCTGAGGAGGGGCCCTACACAGGGAACCCGGGGAATTCTGTATGCTTGCCCTGGCCAGGCTCAAGCACAATCTGCTTCTACTTCTTCTACTCCCATTCACCCATCTCCCTTCCCCTATATCACATTCCCCCAAAGGCGCCTGGGCTTTCAGAAAACAGAAGCCAGGAAGGGAGAGGCCTGGTCATTTTTTCTATGTGGTTGGGTGGAAGTGGGGGCTGCAGAATCTAGGGAAAACAAATCAGTATTAAAAGTATTTCATAAATTAAAAGTTTTTCTGAATAAATGGTGTAGAATCATACTTCTCAGCTGGTGTCATTCCTCTAGAGGGGAAATAAACAAACAAATATGAGGGGTGCAGACAAGTGGGGATGTAGCTTTCCGAATAGCTTTTAATTTTTTTACATTAACTATAGGAGAAAGAAAAACAGAAAGTAGACTAGGGAAAACTGGGTATAAATAACTCACTTGTGAAAGACACTGTATTATGTTATAGTTACGAAGCAATTCAAATTTGTTGTAGAAACTACGTACAGGTAACCCTGGACGTGAACCTGAATACTATTTTATCCTTCATTATTCATATCTTAACACATGCCTTTGTATTTTACATGTGTTTTTAAATCATTATAAGAGGTAATTTGATAATGCTGTTTTATAAATCCAATTTTTAACTTAGTAATATACTGGGATCATATTTCATGGTTACAGAAGTTTTTTACAGATGATTTTTCATGGGTTCGTAGTATTCTTATTCATGGTTACACCATAATCTACATAAATGATTTTGTACTGTTACACATGGAGCCTAGAAGAAGGCTGTCTGGAAAGTATCCAGCTGTGTAATATCACATGCAGCATTAGCAGTGGCTGGATGCTTTCTGGACAGCCACCCTGTGTATTTGTTGTTGTTCTTGTTGTTACCAGTGAACATCCAGCGAGGGTCGTGTAGCTGACTCCTTGTCCACTGCCATTTTATTTCATAAGTTTGAATTTTTGTAAGGAGGATTAGTGGTTGTAACTTAAACAGAGAGAAATAGAGCCATTGGTTTTTAAGAACTAAGCACTGAGGCTCGGCACCTGTGGCTCAAGCAGCTAAGGCGCCAGCCACATACACCTAAGGTGACGGGTTCAAATCCCCAGCCGGGCCCGCCAAACAACAATGATGGCTGCAACC